GACAGTGGGATTTGAACTCCAGACCTCTTGCATGGCGGTCTGGCAACCTAACCACTACACTAAGATCGCCAGACCTATAGATTAATTTAATATAAAAGATGTTTATTTTATAATATTAGTAAATATTTTTGTAATTATAAAAAGTTATAACTTCCAAATATCTAATAACAAAAAGTACTGATTCATTCTAATGAACAGAATTTTAAAATACTTAAATTAACTATTATAATATAAAAATATGATTTTGACAATAAAATAATAATTTTGCTAACATAATTGTTTACTGATAATTCAAATATTGTATTTTTATTATTGATTTTTTTGAGAAGATCTTAAGCAATACTAACTAATAAAGCTTTTAATGAATATTTATTATAACCAAGATCTCTTTTAAGTATAAAGTATATTTACAATATAGCTATTATTTAAATTTAATAAATATTAATAAAATAATTCAATCATATATTATTAAATATAACAAAACTTATTTTTAATCTAAATTTTCTATTATAAGTTTTAGTTATAACCTTTCTACAAACACTATAATATTTCTTATTACAAAAACTAATTGAGTATTAGAGTTTCTTTTATCTTTATTTACTAGAACAAAAAAAGTAACTTCCATCTTATAATCTTTACTTTTAACAAGATAAATACCTAAAGCTTATATAATAGTAAAATTTGATTCATCTTTTTCAGTTTGTTAAACTTAAACAATTTTAATAATAATATCAATACAATATAGCATTAAAAATCAATAAAAAAAAAAAACTAATAGATATCAAACCCCTTATATTTATTTTAATATCATTACAAATAAATATTCCTAAAAAAATATCATTTATATATCAAACTGAAATAATTTGAGAAAAATTATAAAATATTCTTAAAAAAATATCATTTATATATCAAATCGAAATAATCTGAGAAAAATTATAAAACCAAAGATACTAAACAATCTTTTGCTAAAATTGAAATACAGTCATAATAATATACTTTGTTATAACTATAATGTGTGTTACACTTTTTTTCCTACAACTCATTATAATTACACCAATTTATAGCATAATGATCACATCTCTATACTAAAACTAATATATAATACACTATTAAAACATGACTACTATTAATCATAAATATTATACCATTCATTTCATCGAACAATTTTATCTTATTACTTATATTTTACATAATATTTACATCATCCTTACCTATATTAGCATATAGTAAATATGTAAATTCTTAAAATTCATTAAGGTTAGAGTCTGAATCAAAGTTAGAACCTATGAAAAATAACTTATATAATAAAATTATTCAACAAAAGCTTTTTGCTAAAACTCAAGATAGTTTCTTGTACTGATTTTTGAGCTACGAGCAATTTTTAGCAAAACGATTACTTGTCTTGAATCTTTCTAATCATAGTACATTACATCTAATATTGAAATCTGATACATAGTTCAGAAAATCTGCACTACCGACCTTAATTAAAAATAAATATAACTAATATAATTTATAATCAAATAATACAATCTATAATTACATAATGATTATATAATTTATATCAAATAAATATACATTATTGAGCAACAATTTTGAATAACGTAATTTGGCAAATGAACACGTGTTGCAAAGCAGCATGTATAACCAATCATTTGTCAAATTACAGTATTCAAAAATTTGCGATGATATTGTTATTCAATAGTTGTCTGCTGAGTTTTAATTTAAATAAACATGATTACATCGTAAAACATGAAAAAAATAACAAAAAAAATAAATTTATGATCGTATAAGTTTGTCGAATAATATAATTTATAACCAAATAATATAATTTACAATCAAATAACTGCCATACTATAATAAATACAAAAAAAAACTCCGCATAACTCTTCTCGAAAAATTCAAACGTCTAATAATAAAATATTCCAAAATTTATAAATATCAGTTTTATTAATTTTTACAGATACTATCTTTATTCTGAACTATAATAACAATACATCTAACCACGGCACAAAATTTCCGGATGCCGGAACTTAGAAAACTCAGCCGAATGTAGCAGTTTTTTAATAATATTTATTAATATTTATATACATACGTATAAATGATATCATATTCGGCAATTTTCCGACTGATGAAAAGTCAAGGCGGAAATTGTCACGTGTAAACGGAAATCTCCGAAATTTTACAATAGGATTTGTGCCCTGGCGCAAACCAAATATTTTTGTAGCAATGAAAATTTGATGGCTCAGTTTTATTATCTATTACTGTATTAACGTAGTATTTATTTATTAATATAAAATTTATACGGCATTACGGCATTACAACATTACGGCATTACGGCATTGCGACATTACGGCATTACGACATTACGGAATTCGGCAATACGGCAAAATCTTAGTAAAATGCCGTAATTGCTTTTTTTCCAAAAATCAATTCCCCGGCAACTATAGGACCAGTGGACTAGTCCAGTCTAATTGACAACACTGCCTGCATAGAATCCTATTTAAGAGGTTAATAAAAAAAATAAAAAAGGTATAATAATCCCGGACTATAGAAACTGTGGAATATGTCTTAACCCGTATTACTTGATATGAAATTGTCTTAATCTCTCCCTTTTTTTAGTTGGCTTTATATACTGATATTAAAAAAAAAAAATACATTAATTATTATTCAGTCTAAAATTAATTTTATAAACTTCTAGTTCCTCTCCAATTTTTCTCAAGCATTCTTTTAACAATTCACTAATATTCGAATCTTTTAAACCAATAGCTTCACTTATTACAGGATGTAAATAAAATAAATGTGCATTTTGACCTGATAAAATACGTTTTTTCAAAGGACCTTAAATATTATAAAGTGCATAGTTAGAACTACAAATAATTATAAAACTAATACTAATCAATAAGAATTTTAAAGCTTACTGGTTATTGAAGTTTCATTAAAATGTAATATATTTTGGCGAAATTGTAATCTGACCAATTTTTGTAATATGAACAATATTTCATCATTTCTTACTCTAAAAAAGTTCGGTTATTGGTGAAGAATAAATGTGCTTTCATGAATAATTATAAATAAAAATATAAAAAAAAATACCTTAAAAAAGGAAATCTTCCCAATAGCGGTTGATCGATAGTATAATTGCGAATTACAAAAGCACATCGTTTGAGTAAAACAGGAGCAGTTACTTTAGCTAACCTTTGTCTTAGATCAAAAAAATCTAAGGACATAAATATTAATCAATGTCATTTTCACAAATATAAAAATTAATCAAAGGTAGTTTCAAAATATATTGAATTATTACCATCTTTTTCATCAGAACAGAGTTCAAACAAACATTCTAAGCAAACATAAGCAAACTTTTCTCGTTCTACTGGAGTGATAGAAATCGGTACACTTTCAACATTTTTTAATATTTGTCTACAGCACGGCATTTCCAAGTCATCAAATGGCTGAAAATATTCATCGATGTTTTCACTACACATTGTCTGTTTATCTACTTTAGGATAATATAGTTTTGATCCTTCATATATTATTTTCACAACATCAAATATAAGTGATTGTGGAACACGAGAATGTCCCAAGTGAATTAATACTTGTGTTTGTAAATCTGAAAAAAATTTTATGTCAAAGGACTCATCAATATTGAGCTGTTCAATATGAATAGATGATGGTTTGCTAGAAAAGATAATAAAAAATTTGTTATTTGTCAATATAAACCCGATTGGTTAGGTCTGATATTTGATCATTTTTATAGAGGGCCTCCAAATTTCCGAGTCGAAAGACATCAGAGTCATGGTTAGCTGGCTAGCAGTGTCGCTATGCTATACTAATTAACTTTGCCTATAACAAAATTATCAGGCGGGCATTTTTATTTGTGGGTGGGCTATAATACCATTCGCGAAATTTAGAGTGATTTTAGACAAAAGTAGGCAAAATTAGTTAATTCAGGTCCATCCCGCCAGGATTCTGATGCCTTCCGATCCGGTCAGATTTGATCAATTGATCGATCTTCGGTATAAGTAATGTAGCTCGCAAATGCCCTAACATTTTCAGCATCTAACGCTTCATGAATAAAAATACTTCGTGAAGAAAAAATATTCTTGCAAATATAAGGATAAACACATTAACAAAAATGTATAAAATTAAATTTAATGAAAATTTCAGGGTATATGTAAATTGTCTATAAAGAAATTTATTGCCATAAATAGTAATTTGACATAATGATAATAATAATAGTACACTTTAATATATAGTTTTGTTTGTCATTCAATCGTGCCTACGAACAAATGGCAATCGAAGTATATATAAAAGTGTTTTATTATTATTATTATTATTATTATGTAAATTGTTATTTTGTGCTATAAAAGTTCTTCGTGGAGACAATTTGCATATGCATTTTGACCGAGCGAACAACTTTACGACACCCAAGCTAAGCATGTGAACCGAAACGAAACCTGCCGAAAAAAAGTTTCGGATTTTAAAAAGCCTTATAATCCGAAACTTTGAATCAGATGATTGTTTATTAAACAGACCTTAAAATACAAGCATATTGGATCAAAATTTTTTTTAGTTAATATAGATCCATGTATTGTAAAATTAGAGTTTCGGATTAGGTTTCGAGTTTCAAGTCATATGTACAAATGATCTGATCCAGGTCAGGTCAGGTCAGGTCAGATCCGACTGAGAGCCTTAGTAAAATAAATGAAAAATTTCTAACATACCTTTTAGATACTATAGTATTATGAAGAACTTCTAATATCTGTTCCCAAATGCTTACAATACATTCTTCAGAGATGGCTTTAAAAGAGATAACATTAATATATTATCGTATAATTAGATTTATAGTTGTTAAATTTATTACCATTTCCAATACAGTCCAAAGCACTCAATCCGTGATTTACAACCTCTAAAAATGTCATTGATGCTATTTTCCAAAGTTCTGTATTATCATTTTCCGATAGAGGGCAATAATATTTTAATTCCATAAGAACACTATATGCCTATAAAATAATAATCAATATTATTATATATTAATTTCTTGTTAAAATTTTTCAAAAACATACCTTTATAATCTTTTTAAAAACCTCTTCTAAATAAACTACTTTATCATTAGCATAAGTTTTGAATAAATTCTTAACCAATTGCATAACGGTTTTTGAAAATGCAATATAAGAAACTACCGAATATGACTTTTTAGATGTTGATATACCAATAATTTCACTATTTAAAAGTTTATTACTTGAATTTAAATCTTTTGTCAATTTTTGTTGTTCAACTGACCCATATATTCCTTTCAATTTCTCATTCATTTGTTTTTTTGTGAATGCAAGAATGATATAATCAGCTAAATTTTCTAAAACTGCCACAGGTACACCCGAAATATTTAGATCTAATTGCTCAATTATTTCTAATATAGATTCTTGTAAAGGTGTTAGACAATCACAATCAGGCATATAAAATGGACTATTAGAATAAGTTAAAATTCCATAAGTGATTTTGAAAAATCTTTTTAATTCATTTATCGTAAATTTAGAATAAATTATCCTATAAATATCACCAAAAACTAATAAATAAATTTTAAGGGCATCTTGAGTAAAATAGACCGCCATTGAATTCTTCGTATCAGAGTTTGTAATTATTTCTAATCCAATTTTTTCCCAAAAATTCCAAGCTATTTGCCAAAATGGTAATATCTTTTCACAAAGTTTATTAAACTCATTACATTGAAATTTGTCTTGAAATGGATGTTGCATTATCGTATTGAAAGATTTGATAGCAGCTAGAGAAACTTCTAAACTAGAATTTAAGCAAAAATACTCAAATTGTGAAAGTAATAATTCCCATAATTGTTTAAACCCATCAAAATCTATTAATATTGGCATGAAATTTTTAAAAAGTTTAGATATTCCAGTTAAAGCTAAAATTTTTGTCTCATCATAATGTTTGTCAGCCGTATTTCTTGATTGATAAAACATAAATTCACCAAATTCTTTATGTGATGCCAAGCCCAAATTTTGACGCTTTTCTGATACTTGTTTTACCGAATCAAAAAGTGGAAACAATACTTTATGTATGCATACATGCAATGTTCTTACTTCTAATTCTGTACCATAAATAGCAACTGAACGAAATATCGTTTGAATAGCTAAATTACGTACTTCCGACCGAGCATCCGAACAAATTTTTAAAAGTTGTGATAACATTAATATCCAGAGTACGTCCATAATGGATGCTGACTCTTTAATTATAGCTTTATCAATATCACTTGTATCAAATGAAATATCTTCTATCATCTTAATATCGTAATCAAGATAAGAACGTTTAGTTTGTATAAATTCAGAAATATTCCATAAAAGCCCGATTGATTTCAAGCTTATATATAAATCATCCATTTGAAGACCAAAAGCACCTAAAGTATTTATTAATTCTTTCAAATGTTTAGGAGATAGCAATGACAAAAAGTCATTACAAATAAGTTGTAAGGAAGGAAATGCTACAAGAACTAAACCTGACGTTTTTGTATCAGATATATAAAATATTGATTCATCCAACATGCTAAAATTATCATCACTTACAGAATCATCTTCCATAGTCTCTCCGGAACCTACATACACGCAGACACTCCTAATCATTTCTAAAATAACATTCCATCCAAAAGTAAAAGAATATCCTGCTCTACCAGAAGTTTCTAGTAATTTATTTAATGTTTCTAATCTAATTTTTTGTACTTCAACATAAGCTCCACCACTAGAACGCATAGAATTCCATTCAGAATTATCAACCATATGATAAAGAGAAATAAGTAATTGAGATTGAATACGCTCATTATTTTTTATTTGTGCCAAAGAGACATAATTAACTGCAGAAATTATTATATCAGAAAGAGCTTCACAAGCTTGTATACGAATATGATGAGGAGTTGAAGCATTATTCGTTGTTATTATTAGATGTGATGTAACTAAATCCCAGATTAAAGATGGATCACATGCGATCATTCGATGCATATTTAAAATCGCTGCAGTATGTAATGTTTGAATTGCAAAAGATTTCTTGTGATTTTTCTATAGTTTAAAATATGAAATTATATAATAAATATATGTATTATTGAAATCTTATTTTTAATAAAGAGATATATTCTTACATTTACGCCTAAAGCTCCTAATGTAATTGATTTGTGCAAATAATCATCGACAAGCATTAACTCTTGACTAGCTACCTGAAATTCTTCGTTAAGTTGAATACCACACACTTGAGCATTAAGCTTACACAAAGATCGTATAAAATATTGTAAAGCCATATCATTAAGAAACTTGCAATTATCAATTAATGTCAGAATTTGCGCCTTCAGGTTATTTAATTCATCCTTAGATGATTTAGAGTGAGAGATTGTAGATGTTTCAGCTTGAGGTAACAACTCACGTTCAAGTGGTTGATGGTAAGTATTTATAGGTTCAGATGAATTTAGTACAATTAATGGTGTTGTTGTTTGATTTAGAGATGATGAACTACTAGAGGCTATTTGTGAAGGTAAAGAAGTTACTGACTCATATTTCGTATGGTGCATACTATGTCTGCGATTCTTCATTCTCTTACTAGAATGCTTTGAGAGGAGCCTATAATGTATTAGTTGTAATGTTTCTAATACCAAATACCATGAATCACCTAAAACTCCACCAATAGTCTGTGCGATAATTAATAATGACTTTAAACAAGATAAATCTCTAACAGATAATTTTGTTTTAATATGATTGTTACTTCCAGACTCACACGCGTTACTTTCTGATGATGACATAGCAATATGAGGAACAGCAATTTTACATAAACATGTTATAAAGGCATCGCGAGGAGTTGGAAGATGAAGAAAACCACAGACAATAGTGAAATTTTGATAAGCGCGTAAAACGTTATGAAATAATTCATCATCAAGGTTTGTCGAGAGGAAAAATGACAGTGCTGCCAGCAGTCCAGGCCACGAAGTATTTGCCATATCTGCCACAAGAATTTGGGATTTAGATTGTAAGGCAGATTGTTTTTGATGATCTTGCATAACACTAGTAAGATTTTTTATTACAAAATCGTGAAGACCATCTACAATTGAATTTAGGCATACAAGAGTAAGATAGTAAAGGTATGTCTCTGGAATTTGTGGTGGATCTGACTTTTCCATCTGGTCAATGCTTTTATTCAAAAATATCAAGGAAACCCATGAGTACATAAACAATTAGATATTTAAATTAAAAAGTCTATAAAAAATTTATATGCATACCATTTAACTTTTATTACCGAACATGCAATACTCAGGCAATCAATGTCAGTTTGTCCGTCATCCTGCGTTGATTGATGCGAATGCCCATTTAATGAACCACCACTTTTACCTAAAGTATATTGTTTATCGGCTGCTAATCGTCCAAAAGCATTAATCATTGCCTTGTAAACGTTGGTGGAATGATTTTGTTTATCATACGAAAAATAAATAGAACGCAAAAGGGCACCATCCATACAAATTCCATGAAATATTTCCATTGAAATAACTCGTTGCCATAATGGATAATTTGGTTCAAGAAATTTGACAAACATGTTGAGATAAATTTCACATTCTACCACCTACTCATAATGGTTATACTGAATTAATTATTTAATAAACTTAAGTAGTGTGAATATCGCTAATAATATAGAATGTAATTACCAAAATATCATGAAATCTCTTTAGTAGAATATAAACAATTCGCAACATTCTCATAGTAGTTGGAAAGTCATATTTAATGGTTAAATTTTTTAACATAAGAGGACAAATATGTTCTCTAAGTAAAAATGTAAATTCCGGATACTAAAAAATAAAAGGTTAACATTAATAATTTATTGTATATTGTAATAATAGTATTAAATACGAACCGATTCGAATAGCTTGAAATGATTCGACAATATTAATTCTATTAATTCCCAACAAAGAGTTTTTGATAAACTATTTAACTTGAGAAGTATAGGCTGTTC